GTCATCCATGGTGTCGCCCATGGCACCGCCTAGCCTCACGTCTTCCCTGGTATCGCCCAGGTTCATATACATGGTGCCACTCAAGCTTCTCTCCCTTTCCAAGGTGCCACTCACCAATGCATCTTTATCTCCTCATGTAGAAGCATCCATACTTCTTTTCATCCTCTCTCTGCTGCTTGTGGAAGGAAGAAAGGGAATGACATTTCCCTAGCTCTAATCAGAAAAGGGAATTTCAAATGTAAAGGAATGAATTTTTCCCAAATCCAATGAGAGACCAAGCAAAGGAATTTGTTTGCTGGCATAGTGGGTCACCAACAATGGCGCTACCAAATGGAGAAATAATCTTTGTAAATACAATGGAGTAGAAAGTTGAAGAAGCTGCCATGTGGAACAAGATATCTTGGTCTACATAAATGAAGGAGCTCGCTTATACCTTCAACTCCTGTGTCACTACTAGGGCTTGGGGCATAGGGACAAATGATGAGCTCAGATCCAACTATGCTTGGGCCNGCTACCGTGTGGAACAAGATATCCTGGTCTACACAAATGAAGGAGCTCGCTTATACCTTCAACTCCTGTGTCACTACTAGGGCTTGGGGCATGGGGACAAATGATGAGCTCAGATCCAACTATGCTTGGGCGCAGTTCATGGGTTAAGGCCAAATCATCAAAAGATAGGCCAGGTTTAGCTCATGGCCTTAGTCCAATCCAAAGCCCAAGAGTCCAGGAAAAGTCAATGAACGTGGGAGAGCAATCATCGGGATAACCATTACTCTGAAATAGTGCCCATCCCTAATTGTAGCTATCCTTCCTGATAAATTGGTAGCTTGACATTCACGTCACCACCACACCTATGGCTCTGTGCCTATAAATAGTAAACCCCCTATACATGGGACAGATCTCACACACTACACCTTGAGCGTACTCTTACTCTCATTCTCNTGCCCATCCCTAATTGTAGCTATCCTTCCTGATAAATTGGTAGCTTGACATTCACGTCACCACCACACCTAGGGCTCTGTGCCTATAAATAGTAAACCCCCTATACATGGGACATATCTCACACACTACACCTTGAGCGTACTCTTACTCTCATTCTCTCTCTCTCTCCTACTATCTTGTATTCTCTCATTAATAAAGTTCTTCGGCTACCGTTGTTGCCTTCAATGGTCCGGTCGGCCAGACCCAAACCATCCAATCTTTGTCTCTTACTATTAATTGTTTTACACCACACACTCGACTAATTTGATTGTATATAGTCAACTTTGTACATTATCAGTTGGTTTTTCTCCAGATTGGTCAGAATGAAATTTAAGATAAACTATTTTTTATCCCCTTCCAGTAATGACAAGTAACACATAAGCACCTTGGGATCGAGTGTCACAATGAGAATTTTTGTTAAAAATTGACGGACGCAGCCCAAACAAAGCCCAGATCATAGATACAAACCAATAAAGGCTCAATCACAATTGNAGATAAACTATTTTTTATCCCCTTCCAGTAATGACAAGTAACACATAAGCACCTTGGTATCGAGTGTCGCAATGAGAATTTTTGTTAAAAATTGACGGACCCAGCCCAAACAAAGCCCAGATCATAGATACAAACCAATAAAGGCTCAATCACAATTGTAGTTGGGCCAAGCCCACCTTCTTAAGAGACCTAGACCATCATTAGCACACGTGAGAATCTCCATCCATGGAGAGGGAATCCGCGGGGACGCAGTCATCGGAGGCACATCACCAATCTCACGGGATCACCTCGCCTATTACGAGATAAGGCAAGGTTCAAAGAATTACCTCACTCATTACACGGTTAAGGCGGGCTTCACAGAATTAGTTACGAGGATGGCACTTCAATTAGAGCCCCTTNGTCATCGGAGGCACATCACCAATCTCACGGGATCACCTCGCCTATTACGAGATAAGGCGAGGTTCAAAGAATTACCTCACTCATTACACGGTTAAGGCGGACTTCACAGAATTAGTTACGAGGATGGCACTTCAATTAGAGCCCCTTGGAGCTAACTTCACTTGCTTATAAATTGAAAGCCCTACCAACACATGGGGGAGACACACACAACTCAACACACTATATCTCTTGAGTAATTAGATTCTCTAGCCATCGTAGCCATTCCTAGTAGAGTAGGTCACCCAGACCAAACCACCTATTCTTTGTGTTTTCTTGTGTTTAGTCTCCTTCCTAATTATTGCATTAAATACTTGACAAGTGGTGCACAAACATATTTTGTGCATCATCAGTTTGGTGCCGTCTATGAGAACGACTTAGTTTTCACCTAACTACTTTTGTGTGTTTATGGCTATTATGACTAGATCCATGAGTCAACAAATAGAGGATGATCAACAACACCAACAGATCCTATCTTTGAACCACATCAAAAGTTGCTAGTGACTATGCAACTATTGGTGAATTAAAACCAGTAGATCGTCTAGTTAATGCTCGCCAGGCACCCTCAAGTNAACACCAACAGATCCTATCTTTGAACCACATCAAAAGTTGCTAGTGACTATGCAACTGTTGGTGAATTAAAACCAGTAGATCGTCTAGTTGATGCTTGCCAGGCACCCTCAAGGAGTCATGCCTCAGCACCTAGGAGGGGAAGCACTTGAGGCACCTTGCCTAGGGTGCCAAGGTGCCCCTCCTCAACGCCAGGGCTCACCGACTCCCTTTCTTCTTGTGCTAACTCCTTCCTCCCATGCTGGTGACCCTCCTTTTCAAGAAGACGAGGGGACAAACTAGTGTGTGGACCATGAGAGCCACTACAATGACCATTCGTAAGGCGTCCCCAACTATTGGGATGAAAAAATCAAAGAAGTATAGAACCAACTCGATGACGTCTTCAAAGCCATGAAGGTGTAAGGGCCTGAAATGGTCGAACACCTTGTAAGGCATGTTAACATGTCCATTGTAGCTGACTGACTCCCTCTCCTCACGTGCCAGCTCTATCCTCCCACGCTGGTGACCCTCCTTTCCAAGAAGACGAGGGGAAAAACTAGTGTGTGGACCATGAGAGCCACTACAATGGCCATTCGTAAGGCGTCCCCAACCACTGGGATGAAAAAATCAAAGAAATGCAGAACCAACTCAACGACGTCTTCAACGCCATGAAGGCGCAAGGGCCTGAAATGGTCGAATACCTTGTAAGGTGTGTTAACATGCCTATTGTAGCTGATGTGGCCAACTACTTTCTCCCCCAAGGTTCAAGATGCCATCTGTGGAAGCTTTTGATGGCTCCAAAGATCCACTGGACCACCTTGACACCTACAAATCCCTGATGCAGCTGTACAACATACCAAACAAGATCATGTGCAGGGTTTTCCCTACCACCCTTAAAGGATTTGCTTGCCAGTGGCTCATAAAGCTTACTCTGGCTTCCATTAACACTTTCGCTAAACTAAGCAAGTCTTTCGTCTCACATTTCATTGGGGGACGCCGACACCAAAAGCTTAACACCTACCTGCTCAGCATCAAGCAGGATCGAGATAAAAGTCTAAGGCTGGGTTCGTCAATTTTTAATGAGGAAGTCCTTCAGATTCTAAGTAACATGACTTTTACCATTGCCCTTTGCACCCTGGCTATCATGCTTCCCACTTGCTTGACTTTTTAATATAATCCCCTAAAATCCTCCACATTATTCAACAAATCTTCCTAGTGGCCGCCCATTGTTCACCACCTTTTTTTCCACCTTGACAAAAAAATATTCCAATAAGATGATTGCATTTTAGTGCCACAAAGTCTTGAAAATGATGGGTCCTCCATTGTTGCCGAATTCTCCAACCAAATCAAGACCATTTCTGTGTGCTCTCAATGCCGAGCCTACGCGCGTACCTTCTGTGGCGCTTGCACGCCTCCTATTGGCACCACTAGAAAAACTGCACCTCACCTCAGGCGCCCTCACCTTGGCACTTGCCTCCATGATGCCTGCCTCCTCACTTTAGGCGTCCGCCTTGCCTAAGGGCCCTCGACTTGGTACCTACCTCCTTGCCTCTAGCACCTACCTTGCCTCAGGCGCCCTCACCCCTGGCACATTTCTTGCTCGCCTTGGCATCTCCCTCCTCATCTCCATCTCTTAGGGGTAAGCCTCTTGAGTCACCAAAAGCTCGGGCAAACTCTACCTCTACTCTCATGCAAGTGGCCTTAGTCTCTAGCTTAGCAGCTCTCTCGCAAGTCGCCAAAAGCTTGGTCTAACTCTGTCTCAATCTTCAGTTTAACGGCTCTCTTGCGAGTTGCCAAAACCTTAGCCTAACTTTGTATCTACTCTCATGCAAGCAACCTGAGTCTCTAGCTTAGTGGCTCTCTTGTGAGTCGCCAAAAGCTCGGCCTACTCTGCGTCTACTCTCGTGCAAGGAGCCTCAATCTGAAGTTTTATCTTAGCGGCTTNCAAAACCTTAGCCTAACTTTGTATCTACTCTCATGCAAGCAACCTGAGTCTCTAGCTTAGTGGCTCTCTTGTGAGTCGCCAAAAGCTCGACCTACTCTGCGTCTACTCTCGTGCAAGGAGCCTCAATCTGAAGTTTTATCTTAGCGGCTCTCTTGCGAGTCACCAAAAGCTCGGCCTCAAGAGGTGCAGCTTTCTCACGAGCCACCCTCAACTCCTCCTCTATAGTCCGCTCTATTTGCCTCTCCGTCATCAGAGTTTTGCATACCTGCTCATGCTGGTTGGCCCTCACAAATGTGTCTACCTCTCTTTCATCAAAGTACCTTGAGAACTATGGTTTCATCCATTCAAAATGAAGGTTGTCCTTTTCCACAAATGGAACATGACACATGAAAATTCTACTTCTTTACTAATTTGTGGTTGAAATTAAAATTAGTGGAAAACATACTTTTTTAAGGGAAATTTGGTGTCCAAGCAGTCGTAGGCGGTTTGATTTTGGTAAATCTTGAAAAAATACCCAAATTAAAAAAATTGCCTCAAACGGACAACCAAGCACAAAGTTATGGCGGTTCAAAGTTTTTGCCATTTCTTCATGTTTTTCTCATTCTCCACCAAAGCCCAACGTCAACCAGCAGCCACAGCCAGGCGCCCAGCGCCATCTAGCCCTCTCCCGTGCACCCTCACTCCAGCGCCCACGCTTCGCCCGCGAGCTAGCACTTGTGCCTATTGCCTTGCCTCCTATCGCCCGTTCACCTCGCTTCTTAACACCTGTGCACCAGCGCCCTCTCCTCCTCTCTTGCACATACTCACCCTGCTAAAAAGATACCCATGAATTTTTGCTGATGCCCTCTCCCCCAAGTTCTGTTGGACTCTAGGCATGGGGGGTAAATGACGGACCCAGGCCAANCAGAGTTTTGCATACCTGCTCATGCTGGTTGGCCCTCACAAATGTGTCTACCTCTCTTTCATCAAAGTACCTTGAGAACTATGGTTTCATCCATTCAAAATGAAGGTTGTCCTTTTCCACAAATGGAACATGACACATGAAAATTCTACTTCTTTACTAATTTGTGGTTGAAATTAAAATTAGTGGAAAACATACTTTTTTAAGGGAAATTTGGTGTCCAAGCAGCTGTAGGCGGTTTGATTTTGGTAAATCTTGAAAAAATACCCAAATTAAAAAAATTGCCTCAAACGGACAACCAAGCACAAAGTTATGGCGGTTCAAAGTTTTTGCCATTTCTTCATGTTTTTCTCATTCTCCACCAAAGCCCAACGTCAACCAGCAGCCACAGCCAGGCGCCCAGCGCCATCTAGCCCTCTCCCGTGCACCCTCACTCCAGCGCCCACGCTTCGCCCGCGAGCTAGCACTTGTGCCTATTGCCTTGCCTCCTATCGCCCGTTCACCTCGCTTCTTAACACCTGTGCACCAGCGCCCTCTCCTCCTCTCTTGCACATGCTCGCCCTGCTAAAAAGATACCCATGAATTTTTGCTGATGCCCTCTCCCCCAAGTTCTGTTGGACTCTAGGCATGGGGGGTAAATGACGGACCCAGGCCAAACCAAGACCAGATCAAAGATGCAAACTAGCAAAGGCTCAGTCACAATTCTTGTTAGGCCAAGCCCACCTTCCTAAGACACCCATCCACGTGAGAATCTCCATTTGAGGAGAGGGAATCTGTGGGGATGTCGTCATCTTGGACACATCGTCAATCTCGCGAGATCACCTCACCCGTTATGAGATAAGGCAAGATTGAAGGAATCACNTTACTAATTTGTGGTTGAAATTAAAATTAGTGGAAAACATACTTTTTTAAGGGAAATTTGGTGTCCAAGCAGTCGTAGGCGGTTTGATTTTGGTAAATCTTGAAAAAATACCCAAATTAAAAAAATTGCCTCAAACGGACAACCAAGCACAAAGTTATGGCGGTTCAAAGTTTTTGCCATTTCTTCATGTTTTTCTCATTCTCCACCAAAGCCCAACGTCAACCAGCAGCCACAGCCAGGCGCCCAGCGCCATCTAGCCCTCTCCCGTGCACCCTCACTCCAGCGCCCACGCTTCGCCCGCGAGCTAGCACTTGTGCCTATTGCCTTGCCTCCTATCGCCCGTTCACCTCGCTTCTTAACACCTGTGCACCAGCGCCCTCTCCTCCTCTCTTGCACATGCTCGCCCTGCTAAAAAGATAACCATGAATTTTTGCTGATGCCCTCTCCCCCAAGTTCTGTTGGACTCTAGGCATGGGGGGTAAATGACGGACCCAGGCCAAACCAAGACCAGATCAAAGATGCAAACTAGCAAAGGCTCAGTCACAATTCTTGTTAGGCCAAGCCCACCTTCCTAAGACACCCATCCACGTGAGAATCTCCATTTGAGGAGAGGGAATCTGTGGGGATGTCGTCATCTTGGACACATCGTCAATCTCGCGAGATCACCTCACCCGTTATGAGATAAGGCAAGATTGAAGGAATCACTCCGCTATCACCTTGCTCATTACAAGGTTAAGGCGAGCTTCATGAAATCAATTATGAGGATGACGCCTCAATCAGAGCCCCTCTGAGTTAACTTCATTTGCTTATTTTTTTAAGTCCTACCTACACATGGGAGACAACACAAACATCTTAAAACACTACACCTCTTGAGTAATAAGATTATACGGCCACCGTAGCCATTCCTCGTAGAGTAGGTCACCCAGATCAAACTACCTAATCTTTTTGTATTTGCTTGTGTTGACTCTCCTTCCTAATTATTGCATTAAATACTTGAGAAAGTGGTGCATAAACATATTTTGTGTATCATCAAAAATGACAAGCAAAAGTTTAAAATTAAAATTTTATCAAAATAACTTTGAAACTCTTATACATATTTTTTCTCATTTCCTAAGGAGAAACAATAGAAAATAATAATGTGATGGGTAATATTATCTTTTTATACTAATTGTTACTCCCATAGATGTTACACTTTAATCCCACACCTAAAAAGGTGGAAGTAAATGTTTCCAAAATAAAAAGAGTTTATTTTATCATTGACTCACCCTTGACTGTTGAACCCACATATATATAGATATATTACCCTCAAATTTACTTGTGTGGTTTAGCTTTTAAATCTTGAATGATGCAACGTTACAGCCAATCGAATTTGGTTACCTTCTTTGTCTTTTCCCGTCCTACCTTCAAACAAAAAATAAAAAAAAATATCCCTCCTGGTTGGTGAAAAAAATTTAAACTTCCCTCAGGCCATATATTTGACTTATTTTTTATCCCAATCCCCAGTCAGGTCTTCAAAACCCATCTCCAAAACAATGCCACCAAAGGATCAGTGACTTTCAAGTTGTAGTGCAATATGATATGAAAGAAGGAATGGATTTACATTGCATGAATGTATTGTGACCAGGACGTATAATAAATTGTTTAACTGTACAAGGCTTATTCCCTGCCCATAAAATATAAGTCCACCAGCTTAAAAGGCAAAATCACCCCCAATTGATATTTTGAGAGTCAAAATCTGGGTCACGGAAGATATAGCCACCTTACTCTTGGATGGAACCAGATCATAATCTCTTTCCTCCTACTTTCGGTTAGTGAAAACAGACAAGTTCAATTGAGATTATTTTCTATCAAGGCAGCAAAANATGAATTTTTGCTGATGCCCTCTCCCCCAAGTTCTGTTGGACTCTAGGCATGGGGGGTAAATGACGGACCCAGGCCAAACCAAGACCAGATCAAAGATGCAAACTAGCAAAGGCTCAGTCACAATTCTTGTTAGGCCAAGCCCACCTTCCTAAGACACCCATCCACGTGAGAATCTCCATTTGAGGAGAGGGAATCTGTGGGGATGTCGTCATCTTGGACACATCGTCAATCTCGCGAGATCACCTCACCCGTTATGAGATAAGGCAAGATTGAAGGAATCACTCCGCTATCACCTTGCTCATTACAAGGTTAAGGCGAGCTTCATGAAATCAATTATGAGGATGACGCCTCAATCAGAGCCCCTCTGAGTTAACTTCATTTGCTTATTTTTTTAAGTCCTACCTACACATGGGAGACAACACAAACATCTTAAAACACTACACCTCTTGAGTAATAAGATTATACGGCCACCGTAGCCATTCCTCGTAGAGTAGGTCACCCAGATCAAACTACCTAATTTTTTTGTATTTGCTTGTGTTGACTCTCCTTCCTAATTATTGCATTAAATACTTGAGAAAGTGGTGCATAAACATATTTTGTGTATCATCAAAAATGACAAGCAAAAGTTTAAAATTAAAATTTTATCAAAATAACTTTGAAACTCTTATACATATTTTTTCTCATTTCCTAAGGAGAAACAATAGAAAATAATAATGTGATGGGTAATATTATCTTTTTATACTAATTGTTACTCCCATAGATGTTACACTTTAATCCCACACCTAAAAAGGTGGAAGTAAATGTTTCCAAAATAAAAAGAGTTTATTTTATCATTGACTCACCCTTGACTGTTGAACCCACATATATATAGATATATTACCCTCAAATTTACTTGTGTGGTTTAGCTTTTAAATCTTGAATGATGCAACGTTACAGCCAATCGAATTTGGTTACCTTCTTTGTCTTTTCCCGTCCTACCTTCAAACAAAAAATAAAAAAAAATATCCCTCCTGGTTGGTGAAAAAAATTTAAACTTCCCTCAGGCCATATATTTGACTTATTTTTTATCCCAATCCCCAGTCAGGTCTTCAAAACCCATCTCCAAAACAATGCCACCAAAGGATCAGTGACTTTCAAGTTGTAGTGCAATATGATATGAAAGAAGGAATGGATTTACATTGCATGAATGTATTGTGACCAGGACGTATAATAAATTGTTTAACTGTACAAGGCTTATTCCCTGCCCATAAAATATAAGTCCACCAGCTTAAAAGGCAAAATCACCCCCAATTGATATTTTGAGAGTCAAAATCTGGGTCACGGAAGATATAGCCACCTTACTCTTGGATGGAACCAGATCATAATCTCTTTCCTCCTACTTTCGGTTAGTGAAAACAGACAAGTTCAATTGAGATTATTTTCTATCAAGGCAGCAAAAGTTTGGTTATAGAAATGGCGAAGCTAGTTGGACTGCCCATAATCATAGCAGTTCTTTTTGGTTCTGGCCTTGTCTAGACGAGCTTTGCGAACTGCCTCTTGAATTTGTCTCTCGTGCTCTTTCAGCATGTCTTCCATGTTTCCTCCAGGAGGCATCAGTGGTCCAGAGCAGAGGATCCTGTTTCTTTTTGGTACGTAACCCTATATTTAAGGTGAAAAGGCAACAAAAATTTGTAAATGAACTAGGACCTCGAGAGGAAAGAAAGAAATATTAACAGAAGAGTGACATCATCAGCAGATAGCACCATATGAAATCTCTATGTTCAAGCAGACACTATTGAAAGGAAGAGTTAAGAGAGAATATGCAAATCTTTGAGATATTTTTACCATAGTATCCCTGCAAGACACTCTCTCATCCTTCTTAGGATGAATATTGGAGGACTCGACGGATACATTAGGCATATGAGAACTTTGTCTTGACAACTCTGCACCATGTTGTGAAGAGCCAAATGCCCAGCCAGGAACTGTATGACCAGCATCCTCCTTTACTTTCTTGGTCCATGAGTATCCTACTGCACAAGGGTGAATCATCGAATTAGAATGAGAGAATCCATTCTTCACAACTCCTCTGGGTGGCTCAATTGGGAAGCCGGTTCCACTATCCTCATGGGGATTGTATTTTACACTGGTGCTCTTATTTGACTGTCCCTGTTTCATCCAAGTTAGCCATTAGAGTGATGATAGAATTTGACATACGATAGTAAAAAGATAAACGGTTTTTCCAGACAAAATACATGTAAAGTGACCTGTCCCTGAGCATCAAGTTCTGGCGTAGATACTCCTGGCCCACTTCCTTTCACGGCTTCATCTTTTCCTCTGGAAGAAGAAAGAGAACAGGTAGATAATTATGTCTCAAGACAACATACGGTTGTATAATACAGGAAAGCAGTATCATATTATTTTTTATATCGAAAAAACTCAGGACCAGTGATATCTCCGTTGGGGCCTCTACAATCTACCTGGAGTAAGGTTTCCTACCAGNATTTGACTTATTTTTTATCCCAATCCCCAGTCAGGTCTTCAAAACCCATCTCCAAAACAATGCCACCAAAGGATCAGTGACTTTCAAGTTGTAGTGCAATATGATATGAAAGAAGGAATGGATTTACATTGCATGAATGTATTGTGACCAGGACGTATAATAAATTGTTTAACTGTACAAGGCTTATTCCCTGCCCATAAAATATAAGTCCACCAGCTTAAAAGGTAAAATCACCCCCAATTGATATTTTGAGAGTCAAAATCTGGGTCACGGAAGATACNTTAACTGTACAAGGCTTATTCCCTGCCCATAAAATATAAGTCCACCAGCTTAAAAGGCAAAATCACCCCCAATTGATATTTTGAGAGTCAAAATCTGGGTCACGGAAGATATNATCTAGATAATGGTTGTTGACAAACACACTTCAATAAGTCAACCAACAAGAAGAGTAGCAACTTAAATCGAGGGCACCACAAGAATTTGGGAAAACCTCAAAAAAAGGACCAGGATAGAGTGAGTTAGGAAAAGTGGTGTGTTCTTTGGATGAAACTGATAACNATAGCCACCTTACTCTTGGATGGAACCAGATCATAATCTCTTTCCTCCTACTTTCGGTTAGTGAAAACAGACAAGTTCAATTGAGATTATTTTCTATCAAGGCAGCAAAATTTTGGTTATAGAAATGGCGAAGCTAGTTGGACTGCCCATAATCATAGCAGTTCTTTTTGGTTCTGGCCTTGTCTAGACGAGCTTTGCGAACTGCCTCTTGAATTTGTCTCTCGTGCTCTTTCAGCATGTCTTCCATGTTTCCTCCAGGAGGCATCAGTGGTCCAGAGCAGAGGATCCTGTTTCTTTTTGGTACGTAACCCTATATTTAAGGTGAAAAGGCAACAAAAATTTGTAAATGAACTAGGACCTCGAGAGGAAAGAAAGAAATATTAACAGAAGAGTGACATCATCAGCAGATAGCACCATATGAAATCTCTATGTTCAAGCAGACACTATTGAAAGGAAGAGTTAAGAGAGAATATGCAAATCTTTGAGATATTTTTACCATAGTATCCCTGCAAGACACTCTCTCATCCTTCTTAGGATGAATATTGGAGGACTCGACGGATACATTAGGCATATGAGAACTTTGTCTTGACAACTCTGCACCATGTTGTGAAGAGCCAAATGCCCAGCCAGGAACTGTATGACCAGCATCCTCCTTTACTTTCTTGGTCCATGAGTATCCTACTGCACAAGGGTGAATCATCGAATTAGAATGAGAGAATCCATTCTTCACAACTCCTCTGGGTGGCTCAATTGGGAAGCCGGTTCCACTATCCTCATGGGGATTGTATTTTACACTGGTGCTCTTATTTGACTGTCCCTGTTTCATCCAAGTTAGCCATTAGAGTGATGATAGAATTTGACATACGATAGTAAAAAGATAAACGGTTTTTCCAGACAAAATACATGTAAAGTGACCTGTCCCTGAGCATCAAGTTCTGGCGTAGATACTCCTGGCCCACTTCCTTTCACGGCTTCATCTTTTCCTCTGGAAGAAGAAAGAGAACAGGTAGATAATTATGTCTCAAGACAACATACGGTTGTATAATACAGGAAAGCAGTATCATATTATTTTTGATATCAAAAAAACTCAGGACCAGTGATATCTCCGTTGGGGCCTCTACAATCTACCTGGAGTAAGGTTTCCTACCAATATGGGAGGCCAACAACTGTGACACCTTTATCCACCATTTCTTTTTGTCTTATACCAAGTAAATTTAGTGATCCCAAATGCTTCTGAAGTGAATCAGGCAAACACCAATGGTAAAGAAAGCTGTGGGTCTGGGCTACTGTGTTTACAGTGATTTGATTTAAAGCCTACCATAATATTGTGTCCAACTACTCAAAACGTAGTAGGTACTTCATCTATTCTATATATCCTATTCTATCAAGAAAGATCTGAGTTTATCTAGATAATGGTTGTTGACAAACACACTTCAATAAGTCAACCAACAAGAAGAGTAGCAACTTAAATCGAGGGCACCACAAGAATTTGGGAAAACCTCAAAAAAAGGACCAGGATAGAGTGAGTTAGGAAAAGTGGTGTGTTCTTTGGATGAAACTGATAACAAACATCCTTAGGCGATGATATCTGTAATTTAAGTATTTATGAGCTTCTATTGAAACTATGACCTATACAAAGCATAATGGAAAACAGAGTGGAGCCAACAGCATAAGTCCGTATAAAAAGTTAAAGTTGAGTGAAACAGATGTATTAAAAATATTTGTCTCCATGTAGCACTATGTAGTCTGAAGAAGCAAAAGAGCCCAAGACCCACAATTGACTAAGAATGACTTTGCTAATGGCTCCAAAGGTATGTTGTGCTTGGGACTTTTATTTGGTGTTCTACTTCTATTTAACTTGGATGCCAAAAGAATAGGGCACCTATTTTGAACACAACTAACTCATGGGAACACAAGCCAAAGAACAAAAGAACCTTTAGAGAATTCCCTGGAAGGATAAAATGGCCTCCTAATTGACCTAAGAGGTACACTTTATTGACAACAAAGAACACTGAAGCAAAAATGAAAGGGGCAGATCCCAGGTCAACGGAGCCCAAGAATGACACGATATAAAAATACATTCTCCTTATTCTCAGGACGGAGTTGGGATTTTATCGTTAGGGGAGGTGCAAACAGTGGCACATTCAAGAATTTTATTCATTGAGATCATCCAACAAGTCATTGTTGATGTCAAATTTTTAGTTTATAGAACTTATCATAATTAATTTTGAAAAATTAGTTTGAATGACAAAATCGAAAATTGAATCTAACTTCCCATCGTAAAAATTGATTTGCAACAATACTGCGATCCACTATTTTCTCATTTGTGACATGATGTAATAGATACAATTAAATTATGGTCAGAAAAATTAGTTTTGCACAATGAAAATGAACCGTGAGTTAGTGTATTGTTGTGATATAATGCAAGTTTGTAACCCAATTTTGCAACAACTTCACTTTTTCTTATTTTGGTCATCAAACTCACCCAAGCATGAATCTTTCGTCTGTAAGAGCAACTATCATCTATAGGATTGGAATATCCCCATTTTTTTATTGAATGTCTGGTTATTAATCTTTTCCAATATACATTTTTTTTTGTCAGACTTTTCAATAAACTGAAGTACACTATATATATAGAAATTTTTGAAAATCCAAGGGGAGGCATAAGATTTTTTAAAACCTAAAGTGTGCATGGGGCATTTTAGAAAATTTAAGGGGGGCCATTGGCCACAAGGTGGCTCCGTCCATGCTTACTCCCTTATTTCTCCATGCATCTCATCCAACACATGTTCCCAAGTGTGATGGGGTACATGTATTCTATGTCATCATGGTTCTAAGGAGAACAAGTGACCATTTTGACTGGTACATTGATCCCCACAAGGCATGCCATACCATCAGGAGCTCACTGTGCTTAGATTGAGATGATATAATTATTCATAGCAATAGAACCTTCCATCGGTAGAAACCTTGCTAATCAAAGACCCAAAGGAGACTAAAAAAGGGAACCACAAAGAGAGACATACTGCTATTATGTTATCATTGTTTACCATAGCATCTTATGGGGCAGCAAAATCACCATGTGATGATGACACAGTGTGATAATTGGAGCCTGTGCTGCTGTAAGTGCATACAGAAAGCACTCCACATACATAATTTTGACAAATATTTATATCTGGTATTAAGTGGCAGTGGAAAAATTTAAGGGACCACAATTGTCCTTATTTTAAAAAGATTGGACACTAATAAGCCACAGCATGTCTGAGTTTTGGCATGTCTAGGTGTCGGCATGGCAAAAACTTTCCTGGGTTTCTAGCCCTTGTTGATTCAGTTCCCAACTAAATTGTTGAGCCTTTTCATTAGCAAAAAGTTAACAGCTGACAAGCAACATTGGAGTTTTGCATAGAAGAATATGTCATTGACAGAAAGATGGATTCACCAAGGACATATCTTGAACTACTTAAAATGAAACTCAAATAAAATCCGCCTGTGGCATACCTTTTTGAACTGAAACCAAAATAAAGGCCCCCTAAATCATACCTTCTTTCTTCCTCGTCTCGAAGCTTTGCATCAAATTCCTTGCTTGGAGGATATTTTGGCAAACTAGATGGTTCACAAGGAAGAGGCTTTTTCGTGAAGAACTGAAAAACAAAAGAGTCAGAGATGAAAGAAATTGTCAAAATTTAGGCTCATATGAAATCCTAATTGGGATAGGTAAATATATATGCACCACCAGCTGGTAAAATGAATTCACTATAAACTCAGTATTCAGACTATTGGTCCAAGGATAAATTTAAGTTGAAGAACTAGCTAAAAAACCTCAAAAAACAAAGAAACAAGAATTTTATTGGATGAATAGNCTATAAACTCAGTATTCAGACTATTGGTCCAAGGATAAATTTAAGTTGAAGAACTAGGATAAATTTAAGTTGAAGAACTGGCTAAAAAACCTCAAAAAACAAAGAAACAAGAATTTTATTGGATGAATACTGATTTAAAATGGTATATCAATGCATACCTCTCAACATGATGTTTTCGGGAATTATAAGGGGAATCTACATGATGTCCACTATGATTCATCCTCTTTTCGCTGAACTATGAGCAACAATGTATGGTTTTACATGCTTAGTCACAAAGTCAAATGTATGGAAATAATAGGCCAAAATGTATTTTCAAAATCAACAGTTCGGGTTTCATTTTTTTTCTTTAAACAAGAGGCTTCATGTTAATGTGCAACCACTTTTGGAACTTATGCAGCACTAAGAATCAGAATGCACTGTCATTGAGGAACTATAGTTCAAAAACCAACCAAGGTGATACTTGATAGCTTCAATATTTGCCCGGTCCATTTTCTTCCTCTCCCTACAGCAGAGTAAACAAAGAGGAGAAACGGGGAGCAGGAGGAGATTTGCAAGTATGAAAGGATCTGGATCTATTTACTGCAGAGTGAGCAGTTATCACATGCAGAGATGGAAACACAGCTCTCGAATTTCAGCAACATATGCTGATAAATTGGACTTTACATTAACAGGCCACTTCTCTTGGTAGAAACTTTTGACCTTAAGATTGAGATTCTAGATTTAATAGCATGTCACAGCTTGGTTCAAACAAATGACTTATTGGAAATAAAAGAAAAACAAATATAGATTGGCGACTGCTATTTAATGCAGATATGCTGAATTCCATTATACTTTGGAGAGCAGAGAGTCTTAGAATTACCTCACTGGTAAGTGCAGAAACAGCAGTACCCCGCGCCTCTGGTTCTATTGAGAGGAGGATGTCCACGAGTGACAAAGCAGAAGATGGAAAGTCTTTGAATGTCTCAGCAACACAGCGCCTGTAAGTTTGCTGAGGTTTGAAACTTGTAGCATGCGGAAATTTAGTTTTTCTCCAGTAAACCTCAGAAGGTGAACCACATAGCTTGAAAATTTTATGCATTTGCTCAACCTAAGGTGGTTTTGAATCATATCAGTCAACACTTATTACTATTAAATGGGGAACTATCTTGAAGAGCATAGAGGAGAGTATTGCCTTAAACCTAGTTCAAACACCATTAGAAAAAATTAGTGGGGGCATGGGCATCCTAGAGTTTGTTGACATTTCAGATTTACCTGTGATGGTAAGGTAGAGAGAATTTGTATTCTGAGAACAGTCATGATTAATCATTAAAGAGTTGGGTCATTGGTAGCAGCAAAACAAAGCTTGATAATAAAAGTTGGAACAAATTTGATAAAAAGAACCAAGAGACGAAATTGGGTTGTAAATTCTCAACAAATTAAGCATTCTGTGACTCGAAAGATCTTCAAATTATTATTGGGTTAATCTTATTTTGCACCCCAAAAGATTGTTCAAATCTCAATTTGCACCCTCAAAGATCAAAAATCTCAATTTACACCCTCAAAGATAGAAATTTGTATCAATGTGCACCCCTAAAGATCAAAAATCTCAATTTGTACCCTCAAAGATAGAAATTTGTATCAATGTGCATCTCCAAAGATAAAAAATCTCAATTTGCACCTTCAAAGATAGAAATTTGTATCAATGTGCACCTAAAATTAAATTAATAAATTATACCTTGATCCCCTCATATTTGTCACTTAATCATTTGAACTCCTTCACATTTAGAATATTCCCCTTACATCTCATGACGTTTATGCACGTGTAACACATAACCACTTTTCGTTGATATATATTAATATAATCGTTAAAAAATATGATTTTATCCTAATATAAAATTATAATTTTATATTACCTTTTATTTTGTGGATTCGATATACTCTAAAGTTGAAAATCAAGCTTACCATTTGAATGTCTAATAAAATGTAGATATTTATATAAAAGGTAATATGAAAAATATTATATAAATATTTATATTTTATTAGACATTCAAATGGTAAACTAGATTTTGAACTTTATAGTATATTGAACCTATAAAATAAAGGGTAATATGAAATTATAATTTTTTATTAGGATAAAATTATATTTTTTAACGGTTATATTAATAGATATCAATGAAAATGGGTTACGTGTTATACGTGCACAAATGTCATAAGATGTAGGAGTAATATTCTAAATGTGAAGAGGTCTAAATGATTAACTGACAAATATGAGGGGATTTAGGTATAATTTATCAATTTAATTTTAGGTGCACATTGATACAAATTTCTATCTTTGAGGGTGCAAATTGAGATTTTTTATCTTTGGGGTACACATTGATATAAATTTCTATCTTTGAGGGTGCAAATTGAGATTTTTGATCTTTGGGGGTGCACATTGATACAAATTTCTATCTTTGTGGGTGTAAATTGAGATTTTTGATCTTTGAGGGTGTAAATTGAGATTCGAACAATCTATCGGGGTGCAAAATGAGATTAACCCATTATTATTTGCTATGGTACACTACAAGAGATGGCACAGAAGAAAACTTCCTATTCACTAACAAGTTGGAACCAGTCGATTATAAGCCATACAAGGAACACAAGTTTTATTTGAGAAGAATTTCCATATTAAAGCATTCAACCACCAAAAATTATGAGACAGAAACACTTTTTGGCCAAACATCTCAGAATTCATGATAAACATTCAATGATTTTTTGGGTATGTAATGAACATTCAATGCTAATAAACATGGAAATAATCATTCTTACCTCTAAGAAATTCAGTCAATGACATTGTTTCCATATTTTATATTGTATAATGATTTCACTCTACTTGACAATAGATCTATATGTAATAGTATCGAATCACCACATTTCATGGGCATTCAAAATATTTCTGACTTTGCATTCTATTGTACAAGAGAATATTAAGATCGAAAGAAAAGATGTGTAGAAATTTCTAAATGAGTGAAATGCATGCTAACCAAGTAACAAAATTTATCNAAATTTCTATCTTTGAGGGTGCAAATTGAGATTTTTGATCTTTGGGGGTGGACATTGATACAAATTTCTATCTTTGTGGGTGTAAATTGAGATTTTTGATCTTTGAGGGTGTAAATTGAGATTCGAACAATCTATCGGGGGTGCAAAATGAGATTAACCCATTATTATTTGCTATGGTACACTACAAGAGATGGCACAGAAGAAAACTTCCTATTCACTAACAAGTTGGAACCAGTCGATTATAAGCCATACAAGGAACACAAGTTTTATTTGAGAAGAATTTCCATATTAAAGCATTCAACCACCAAAAATTATGAGACAGAAACACTTTTTGGCCAAACATCTCAGAATTCATGATAAACATTCAATGATTTTTTGGGTATGTAATGAACATTCAATGCTAATAAACATGGAAATAATCATTCTTACCTCTAAGAAATTCAGTCAATGACATTGTTTCCATTTTTTATATTGTATAATGATTTCACTCTACTTGACAATAGATCTATATGTAATAGTATCGAATCACCACATTTCATGGGCATTCAAAATATTTCTGACTTTGCATTCTATTGTACAAGAGAATATTAAGATCGAAAGAAAAGATGTGTAGAAATTTCTAAATGAGTGAAATGCATGCTAACCAAGTAACAAAATTTATCCCCACAATAAAATACCTCAGTTCTTCCAGGCATAATAGGCTTTCCAGAAAACAACTCTGCAAGAATACAACCAGCACTCCACATATCAATGGCAACTCCATACTCTGTTGCACCGAGCAAAAGTTCGGGAGCCCTATACCACAGAGTTACCACACGACTAGTTAATGGCTGCATTTGATCAGGCTGAAAAAAATTGGCCAGACCAAAGTCTCCGATCTTCAGAACACTCATATCATCAATAAGAAGATTTGAACCCTTTATGTCTCGATGCAGGACCCCACGACTATGGCAGTGTTCAAGTCCACGAAATAGTTGTTGCATGTAACATTTTATCTGAAAGTGCAGCAGAAAAAGTTGGGCATAAATATTCTAAAGAACTGCAGGAGAGGTACGTAACCTGAACTGAATACTTGGTATTGAATGAGTTGGAATTTGCTCATTCATATTGGTAGCAGAACTGCCGAAGTGGTCAGAACAAACAAATGTAGTAGAANGTGCAGCAGAAAAAGTTGGGCATAAATATTCTAAAGAACTGCAGGAGAGGTACGTAAGCTGAACTGAATACTTGGTATTGAATGAGTTGGAATTTGCTCATTCATATTGGTAGCAGAACTGCCGAAGTGGTCATAACAAACAAATGTAGTAGAGAAGAAATGGCCAATATACTAGTAGCAGTAGGTACAAGTGGAGTGATGCCCACACATGCATAAGAAATATATGTCCAACAGATGGACCTCTATAATTCTTGGCAAATTGTTCAGGTCTATAGCATTCTTATTTTTTTTTTTAATAAAAAATCACTATATTCTTTAAACTGTTACGATGAAAAATTGCATATGATCCAAGATTATGCCACTACAATGACTGAAAATTTTCAGACATGAAGTTCCCACCAATGTTGTAGATTCAACAATTGTTTGGACAGCTTTTGTAATAAATGATACATAGCTCAAGAATCATTGATATGGAAGAAGAGGAAGTTACCTGTGGTTCAGTGAACTGGATCTTTGGTGAAGCTGCAAGCCCAGCAAGATCATGCTCCATGTACTCAAATACAAGGTACAAGCTCCCTGAAATCCTTGATGTGACCAGAGCCTCGAGTTTCATAACGTTTGGGTGGTCTAGTCTCCGCAAAACACAAATTTCCCTGGCCATGAAACGAACACTTTCTGGATCCATATTAACAAACCGCACTTTCTTCATTGCTACGATTTTACCATTCTTTAGGTCGCGAGCCTTGTAAACACTACTATAAGTTCCTTGGCCAATCTGCATAAAGATATTATCCTTTGAAAATTACTCGTTAACTGATCATGGAAGCACCAACTAGTTTGCCATAACATTACATGACAATCAATCACAAAACTGAAATCCAAGCACCCTAGATAAGAGAAATAGAAGATCTTAAATCAATAAGTATAGCTTCGCCTATTCTGATAAGAGGCATCCGTAATTGAGCATATTAAAACTCCTACAAGTAAATATCTAACCTATAATTTTATCACGAAGTATATCATAATGCAAAGGTAGAGTTCATATTTTATATTTTGAGTGTTGAAGGGTAGTATTGTAATTCTCATAATATAAGTTTAGTATAAATAAGAGAATGTAGGGAAACCTAGCCTACACACAACTTTATTCTCATCTTCTCACATTCTCTTCCTCTCTCTTTATCTTTTTCTCTTCTTCTCCCTTTCTCGTAACATAATATTGTATCTTTTACTACTTAACTTGGTTTCAGAGTATTGATTCTAGCTTTCTTTTTTCCCCCCAATGAATAGTGTCACGTGAACAGTACACAGAATAATTGGCATGAAAGAAAAGCCATAAAAAACAAATAGAACTGACTTTGTTTAACTTCTCAAACGATTCTGCACTTCGAGGAACCCACCCTCGGATGGCCTCTCCAGCAACTGAAGCTAGCCACGATGGCCATCCTGCAGCGATCTGTTCACCTTCAGCACCATGTGGCACACTTATTATTCGAGACATTGCTTGTTGTACTCCATTGACTCCCAGATCCACTGTTGCCTGTCTGTGATGCTGTCCATTTTTCGGTCTTTCCACAATTATCGTTTTCTTCTGATCCTCATTTACTGCGGCCGGGACAGAGCCCTCAATGGCTGGTAAGGACGGCTTAGACATTGTATGAACAGACCCATCAGGCTTAGTATTGACTACTGCTACTACAAGCTCCTCCCTGTTAGAGGGAGCAACCATCTGCGCTGAGGACTTGTCTACCTCTTTCTCTTTTTCATTTTGGGTTACATTATCTTTTGCAGAGGATAGTTTTGAGCATATGCAGCCCATCCTTTGCAAAGCATTTGTTTTTCAAACAGGCAAGTTCCAAATTTGTGCAATCAGCTTTTCCAACTCTCGCAATCCCTTGAAGATGCCAATCTTCCAATATCTTCACATTTTACAATCAGCCGAATAATTTTCATTATATCAAAATCAGAGTACTCTCTAATTTAGAGAATGATTAACAAAACTACGTTGGACCTTGAATTTTCCACTTTCTGTTCAACCATATAAATCAGCCTAAGCTTCAAAACCTCTAAGGCTTTTTGCCTCCATTGCGTTATGGAAGCCAAAATCTACCCCAAATAGCAATTGCACCTTCTGGTAATACACAGCCAAAGTTTACCTTGAATGTGACAAATTCCAATTATTCTTAAAAGCCAAAACTTTAATCCACAAAAGAAAGAGGAGGAGGAGGAGGAGGAGGAGGAGGAGGAGGGGGGAGGAAGAGGTGGGGGGAGGAGAAGGAGAAAATAAAAAACTGCAATTAGGCGTTCGCTTTTCTCGCCTGGCTCGCTTCGTCGCTTAAGCTCGCTTTTTTCTCGCTTCGCCTTGGATGTTTAAGGTGACCAAGGCTCACTTCACTTCGTTTCTCACCTAGGCGCGCTTTTCACAACACTGCTTAACATTAATCAAATCCTAGTAGAGATGATGTTATATGTGTATATGTATAAAATAAATTGATTGATTCATCGAACAGTAACATATGACAATTTATCTTATTATGATTAGATGATGTTGAATGCTCAGTTTTGTTGTGAATGCTCTTATTAATTAATTTGCTATATGCTCTATTTGATTAATCAATTTGTGAGTGCTATGTTTAGTGGTGATATTA